GGGGCAGCGTTGGCCATTGACTAAGGACTCGATATACTCGATTGATGATGGTTCGTCCGAAATGGCTCAAAGTACTCGGAATTGACTTTGGAAAGCTCATCTCGAAAATTGGCTCAACTCTTTCCTTTCGGCCTCGGAATAAACTTGAAAATGAATCCCAAAAACACGGAAAAGTACGCCAAAATATAAAAATGAAACGAAAAAACATAAAATCACACAAAATGCGCCAAAATGGACCGGTCGACGCTAAAATGAATCTAAAATCGACTCGAACACACATATAAACACATAAAAATAGGCACAAAAACATAAAAACAACTCCCCCACACTTAGCTTTTTGCTTGTCCTCAAGCAAACAAAATAACAAATAGCTCGAAGAGATAAATCGAACGGTCCAAGATTAACGAACATGCAAAAGGAAACTCTCTTTATCATCCGGTTATCCTAAAATCAAAATCCAATCCGAGACACGGTCCCCTGTTTGGTACAAATGTGATGGGCAAAGGATAACTGAGCTACCCGACTCGGGTCGATCTCGAAGGAAGGCTATTCGGAGCTTTGTCTACTAGATGATCGTCCAAATCACAAAAATCAAAAATAAAATCCTAAACATTCTAAACAATTGATTGGATGGTTGATTAACACTACTTGAGCACTTAAAAACGAGCAATTAATTGAAAGCAAGATCAAAAGACGAGCAATTCGCAATCTAGATCATCGGAGTCTCAAACCATAACCAATACGAGATGATAATCAATCGACATACGGAATAAACGAGCTACGAGCATTAAATTGCTAACCCTAGTCGTCTAGTCGAGATCAACAAGTAATTAACGGCTCTATCTACTCAAGCAAGCAATCAAGTTCAAGCATATCCACCATCATCAATCAAATCCAATTTACTCTAATGAAAATTATAAGTAAAACTGGAGCAAAAACGAAGTAAAGAGCTTTAAAATTAAATACTCAATCTCCCATTGCGTAGACGATGAAAAACAGAGTCAAAAGCTCGAAACTTGAACGAAACCGAAGTCACCAGAAAATCTCCCAGAAAATAGCATAAGCTCCAAATCTAGAGAGCAAAATAAAATAAAAGCTGATTTCCCAAAATGAAAAAAAATAAAAATGAAAGTTGGATTCCCAAAATGTAAAGGCCAAAAAGTATTTATACTCCCAG